GCATCGAGAATAAGGAGTGATGATCTGGTGGTACGTTCCACAATTTCAATTTTTTTGGTGCTTTCGAAGGCATTTGTATGGCCTATATAATGGTGGTGTTGAATCTGAATTACAAATTACTAGCTCATATTCATAGATCAGACCAACAGACGAGTCTTCGTCTATTGATCTGGCCAATAGAAATTGTAGAGGAAGTGAAATATAGTATTTCACATATCCTTTGTTCCTCATCGGGTATCGTGTTTTTCGGTTTTAGAAAACATAGGGAGATTCAACTTGTTGGCTGTGAATATTGTTTTTGTGGGTTGTTTGGGATACGGAATATAAGTTTTCAAGAGATGAATAATAATAATATTTATTGATTTCTTTAGGACATCCTAATTTACATACATTATTTTAAAAATATATAAATAAATGACATAAACGACAAAAATGATAATATGATTGAAAAAAAAAGAATAATAAAAACCATTTTCCAATGATTCCAGAATGATTTCAACAAGACGATATACATAATAAATATATTACCAAACAGAAAAAAGAAAATCAAGGATGATATTTGATATAGTTCATGAGTTTTTTTTTAATTGGAAAACATTTATTGAGTTATTCGACGAAAGTGAGAGTTTGTTATACTCATTCAAACCTTTATAAAATAAAGACTTCATCGTACTAGTCAAATTAGCTATATACCGGTGGCATATAGCTGTTTCTGCCTATTGGGCATCGTCAGTACCGGGCAGGCGGTCCTCGATTGAAGACAAAATGAGAAAAAACCAAGAAAGTACTTGATAAAAATAGCTGCGTAAACGCAAGCGAAACATAAGTGGAACCACCTATTGGTGTGACACCCAAGTCAACTTGCCAAGTTTTTATGTCAGTGTTGGTGGTTTGACCAATCAACCGACAACTGCGGTAGCAGAAATTTGGGAAGATTGTTCAAAACTGAATTCGATTTAGCAGGATGGTTACTGATATATTCAGTGTATGCCACATCGACTTTGAAATGAAGGAATGAAATTGTTGAAAAATGTTGTGTATGAAAGTTTCAGATATCAATGCACTGATCTTTTTCAAAACTTTCTGCAATATACTGGGTAGAAACGTGGCGTTAGAAAGTTGGATTTCTTGAATGAAATGACATATGGGTCTTCCAAGCTTTCTATCTTCAAATTTCAATAAGACAAAGTGGGTTTGAGTTATCATCGAAACTTTTTATTCATTCGAAAGACCTATTGATGCAATTATGTGTGAAATATACCATCGTTCAAATGTTTGCCGCAGTTTTTCTAGGTGGGGGGTATCCAAAACGTCCAATTTTCCACGACTCTCGTGCATAAATCAGGCTGAATTTAACCGATGGCATGGGTTATGTTGGTTTTGAGAGCCGCTGTGTTTTGTGGCTTATTCGCAAGTAAAAATCTGATAGAGCAAATCGCACATCACCTCCACGTGAAACGACTATGCCCTCAAATCATTCGTGCAGAATATCTAATATGGCATGAGCTGTGTGGCACGTAGCGCCGTCTTGTTGAAACCACATGTCGTTGGTGTCCAGATTATCCAATTCAATCCAAAAATTGGTAATGATCGATCTATATTGCTCGCCGTTGAGAGTGATGACCTGGCCAACGTCGTTCTCAAAGAAATATGGACAGATGACGCAGTCACTGACTTTTGCGGGATGCATTGGACGCTCTTAGATCTCATGAGGATTGGTATCGTTTCAAATTCAACAATTTTGTTTGTTCATGCACCCATTCATCCAGAAATGGGCCTCATCGCTGAAGATGATTTTTTGATGAAAATTTGGAACAGTTGCCAACTGCTTCAGAGTCCAACCAGCGAACACACGTTGGTCTATGGTGGTTTACTCTCAGTTACTGTGTCAGTTGAATTTTGTACGGATGCAGTCACAATGCAAAATTCTCCAAATTGTTGTTTGCGGAAGGCCAAGTTCTTTTGAGCTACGCGAAATCAACTGCCTCGGATTCTCCTGCACACTCTCACACACAGCAGCGATATTTTTAGCAGATCTTGCGTTTCTTCGACGTACAGGTGTTGGTCGATCGTTTACTGAACCAGTGGACTCAAATTTATCCACCACATCGCGAATAGTTCTCTCGGTAGAACGGTTAAGGGATCGTAAAATAGGCGAAGCGCACGGTACGTTGCCCGAACAGAGCATTCATTTTGATAAAACAATTTTATTATGTTCAGAGTTGGCCGAACCGGATACTTTTGAAGGAAAACTCCTGTTTTCAAACTAGATAGATGAAAACTGATAGTTGTATCTGTCAAATTTTATGACAAACTCAATGGTGGAAACCGCATGTTTTTGAAAAATGTGCATTTTCGAAAATTGCTGTAACGTTTTCCTGTCAAAAATTTCTTGTTTCTATGAAAACCTATCTGAAACACTTTTCTACCTAGTATACAATGGTGTAAAAAACTTATATTTTCAAATGAGATATCAATAGTTATTGTGAAAAACTACTTTTTAACGCGACACCTTGTATACTTCTGCATATTCCAATAGATCTCAAAATTACTTTTCCAAAAATGTAGCACACTTGATATTTTGCTAGAGTTATATTTGAAATACAGAGCTTTCAGGTTTTTTCATGTAGACATTTCTAAAGACTCGGCGATAAAACAGAAAGAAATTGTTTGGCAGTAGTAATCAATGGTTGAGAAAGCTTTTCACAGCAGTAATTGAAACGCAGAGTTTCAATAAAACTGATAACAATTTATGCTATATTTTTTACTAATAAATAAAACTTCAACAATAATAAGGATATATAACAAACAATGAAATATATTTCTTCAGAGCAGATTTTCCGCACTCACAGAGTATCCGGTAAATGCAATTCTTTGAATCGCATTTCCCGTTTGATGGCCTGATTTTCGTGAGGCTGCTACGGAAACACTATCCGTAGCGACTTGTTCACAAATGTATTCAGCCAAGCAAACGTAGAGATTCACAACATATGGAAACCCATAATCAAGCGAAAAATGGCCAACTCCCGCCAAACAGTCATCTCCCGTTGTAGCGGAAAAAGGAAAGCGGAGATGGGTGAAAGTACTCGAATGACCCATAAAATGCCTTCTCTGAAAAGCTTATTCTACTTGAAAACATTTTTCTGACTCAGATTACGATCACCATATGCCACTTTAAACATTTTGAGCATTTTTTGGAAACTTAATTTCATTTTTACACAAAATTCGATGCAAATTCTTTGATCCATTTTTTTCGATAGAAGAAAATTGACAAACACGCAAAACACTTCAAACTTTTATGCCTCTCAATTTTTTTGAGCTTCCGAAATTCGTCAATTTTTCTTAGATAGTTTCTTCTCCATGCTATTATTTCTTGACGTTCAATGAGAATGCTTTTTCTGTCAACTTTTCCGTACGTAAATTTCATTTCGTGTACAAGTTTCCTAAAAGTTTCTTTACCTATTTTCGGGACCAATTCATGATCGCTAAGTGCCTCCAGAACTGTTTGTAGTGTGGGCAGCTCATTTCTGAAAAAGAAACTGTGAATTGTTCTGCGTATACTGGTTTTGGCTTCTTCATCAACTGTGATTTTTTTTCGTCCGCTACTAGTTTTTGGCGTTTGTACGTCCCCATGAATTTCTGCTTCTCTTAGTATTTTGTAAAACGATGATTTTGGTACACCGGTATAATCAGAGCACATATCAACTAATTTATCTTTTGTAATTGTGGAACTTAATGATGTAGAAATGCCCGGTTGGTTATTCGGAGGTACACACGTAGAATTACAGCACATATGCACAAAGTCATCTTTTGGTGGCTGATGATCTCTTTCAAGACAGTGAAATACTCGCAGTACAATTTGTTTTTCTCTTACTGACCGAGACTCCGACCGTTTTACCTTTTTCGACGTGGAAGGCCCGACCATATCTCCCATTTTTTGAGTAGTTTGAGAACGGTGTAGAAATATAATTATGTAACGCTTAAACACTTATTAGCACAATTATTTTCACCAATTGTTATCACAACACGTCGATTGCTGACTAACTTAACTGTAAAACGTACAATTCACGCTGTATAATTCACAAACCAATGATACGCTCATGGCTGGAAGTACATTAGTGAGGACTGCAACGATGAGATGGAAGTTACGGTAAAGTGACAAAGACAGAATTATCGTTTCGTACAGCGTTGCCACTAGTTGTAATAAATATCTAACACTATACAGAAAATAATGAATTTTAACTGATCAGTAATCAGGAAATGTATAAGTATTTCTCATTACAAGCTCATTACTGATTTTTGTCATAAATAATACCTTTTAATCGTACTAGTATTGTGTATTATCTATAATTTGCCACAACCTACAACTCTACTGCTTACTATATTTTGATTCTGCTAAAAACTGGTAACGTAAAATTTAGATATGACAACGCGCTTTACTCTCAATCATTATTGGTTTTACTATAGTATTTTGTTATTATTTACTACCTGCCTGATACCTTATCTTTGCCCTTTTTTCTACCTGTATATGCGTTCGAATGCGAACAAAGGGTTGTGAGTAATTTGACAATTATCACCGTTCAAAGATCTCATTCCACATTTATCGATTTCTTAACTTTCGAAGGCATTTGAAAAAGGTAAAGATTGGGTATCAGTCGGGTATTAAAAAACAATAGGACACTAACAGAATACTGACAATCAATTTAGTGACCTCATCATTTAAGGTAATTATTTCTGTAGTTGCATATAAAAAGATTAACGTACCTTCTCAGTAGGGATACGTAATTTTCGTATTTACGAAATAGGCGCATGTAGATGTGAAATTTGCCGATAATTGCGATTTTTTATGTTACAGTAGTTACCCACGAAATTTTGATTATTTTTATCATTGAAGCTGAGTTGAAGAAAGTTTACGTGCCTATTGTGAATAATTTAAGTAGGTACCTTATTTTATGCCTTATTCATCTACAATGTTGATGTTTTATATGCGAAAATTACGTATCCATACTTATTGATTAGTTGATCTTCATTTGACTACGATATTTACATTTTTTGTAACAAGTCATTTTCTACATGTTCAGTAAGTACCTATTGTTAGTTAGGCTTATATTACTTACACGTCACAACAAGTCTGTATAGATGTTACCATTAGCGAAATATATAATATTAATATTAGTGAAACAATGCCGCAAGGAACTGTTCTTGGGCCACTGCTATTCACGCTTTACATCAATAGCTTATTATCAATGGATATAAAAGGATGTGTCCTTAGTTTTGCTGATGACATCGCAATATTTCATCAATCTGAAAACTGGAAGACCCTCAAAAATGAAGCACATGTTGCGAAAAATGTCATTTGAATATACTTATCAGAAGTAGTTTTAGTCATTTTCTGATGATGCTAACTTTGTGAGCAAAATGCACGTCGAGGGAAGAGCGGTTTGGAAAATGAAACAAAATATATATTAGAGAGAAATGTAGGTATACAATATTTTATTGATTATTGGTAATAAGCGTGACTGAAATTCATAAACAACGTATATCTAACTTTACCTATGATGGCGAATAAAATGAAATCATTCCATACATGTGTTCTTTTTGAATTTTCTGTGTTGATTAATAGAAAATGACATATATTGATGTTGAAATACATATAAGAAAATCAAAATCTTTCCTGGTTCAAATGAGGAAAGATTATTTCAACAGTCGAGTGAGTTAATTAGTACTTGAATGATCATATGAATTTAGTTAATGGTATGATTTCAAATTATTAAGGGGTATGCCATGCCAAAATATATGGTTTTCATTAGATATTAGTGTACCACAATAAAGAGAAGCACAAAACACACGACACAGATATTATAATGTGGGCATATATCTAATTCACATTTTTACCAGTTCAATATGTTTTCTGGAATTGTATCAGAATGATAACATATGAAGCTATCGAAGACAAAAAGGCTGGGATAAGGCGTTGGTTGATTTTGAAGAATCCCATTGCTGAAAATTCTGGCGAAAGGTATTCGATTAGTTCTGACAAATGGATTAGTTCTCTTCTGACAGCTGGATTTTCAACATCTATTTGCACATAATGACTCATTTCCAAAAGTTTTTTTGCGCTCTTCTCCACTTTATCACACGACATGATCATTATTAGGCTGTATAACTGAAACCAAAATATATTTGGATATATTGTTCAACTATTCAAATCATCCTTTCGATAATCACAATTTTAAAAATGTTTTGAGGGAAAAAACTGAATGACAATTTCATGAAAAATTATACTCGTTCTCTGCAATTCCAAAGAAACAATTTATCAATTATCTGTACACTTTCTGACTTAACCGATTATAATCAAATGAAGGTAACACAGATATATCAACCAACAACAGTAGAGGTCCAATGTGAGAATATGAGAATATGAACTTTCATGTCAAATTTCTCAAAACAGCATCTTGTTATTGAGTTAGTATCTATATTGATATAGTTTTTTCCAATGATAAGAAATGTTGTGGAAATGGCCGCGGTGGTAAAACGCCCGACTCACGATCGGAAGGTCGTGGATTCGTTTCCCGACCAGATATTTTTCTCGAGATAATTTATCTGTTTGAAGCTGGGATGATTCTGCAACCGTGTTAGGAACCACACGTTAAAAGGTAAGACCTCGTTATTCCTTAGCTCGCACAAGTTTCTCAACTTCTGAGAGTTGTCGTTCGTATGGGAGCGACAGCTGATTAACGGAAAAACATATTTTTAAACAGATTTTTTTTTAAACAGTATCGTGAAAAATGAAAATGAAACCGAAGAAAACACGTGTACGGTTAGGTTAGGTTAGGTCGAAAGTGAGTGGGTCTATTGGACCTTCCACCACAACCCGCAAGAGTTTATTGTTGCTCACATATATTCACACTCGACCAAATAAAGCCAGCTTCTTAACGAAGCTAATAAGTTTGTATCGTGAGTGGTCTTTCAGGTCAGATGATAAGATTGCGGCTCTGCCAAACTCTTTATGCCTGCTGCAGCGTAGTTCATCCTTACTGTAGTACAACAACTATTTGGTATTAAGCTTCAAAGGGTGAATAAACGCCTTGGAGTGGGCCAATCATGGAAGATTCTGCCAGAAGTCCATAAATATTCTTGCCATTCAGGTGTTTTATGTTTGTTTGGCAAAGCCTAAAGCAAGGCCAATGACAGGTTTTGGTATGATGAAGCTGCTTGCAGCACCCTTCTTTGTAAGAAAATCAGCGGCCTCATTGCCTTCCAGGACAGTATGACCAAGAATTCAGATCAGAGTCAATCTGTTAAGTCTTACTATCGAAGATAGTCGTTTTTGGCAATTTGCTACCAATTTAGACGTTGCTTGGTAGGAGCCAAGAGCTTTCAACGCCGCTTGACTGTCCGAGAATATTTTTGTTGACTTGACACTGACATTGTATCATGTTTATGAAATTTGGATAACTGTTATACGGGTGAGTTCATAAGCCATGATGGCAGTTTCCCGATATTTGCGGGACAAATAGGAGGATGTTTCTTTTGTTGCACAAAGTAAAGATGTTGCCAACTCCCTTCGTAATAGGTGGGTCAATTCTCGGTCTATTGTATAAAGTTAGAACACGATTTTTTATCATGTTTCTGAGAGTCGGAAAGTTATCAACTGGTGCTACTGCACATGATGCATACGATAAATTCAGCTTAGGATACTTGTCTCAAGCAAAAGCTATGTATACATTACGTGAGAAACACTTTATGTAATATGATCAGAGCCTTCAAATCTATCATCTTGGCTGAACACAAGTTATGCATCCATAGTTTATCTTTGAATGGATCAGTGATCTGAACAGCAGTAGTGAAGTTAAGCCTTCCGCCCCTCTTTTCCTCTAGCTGAATACTTGAGTGAGTTCAGGCCCATTTGGCATAACATGACTATTTGTTGAATATGTTGCCTTCAGAGGTCAGATTCGAGTTATTCAGTTCAATAACAGGAATTTTTCAAATAATTTTTTCAGATAATAGTATGAATTGAGCTTTTTCTGTCAGAAAATTCGAAACCTGAATGTTTAGACCATATTCCGATTTGTTTCTGTAAGAGAATTCCAAGGTTTTTAGTATTGCGTATTCTTGCAAACAAAATTCAATTATCTGCAAATAACCTTGCCTATATTATACTGTTCATTGGCTATTATATATCATTGAATTTGATTAAAAACGGTGTTGGGTCGAGCCCTGAAGGATACCATTGCAAATCTTTCTGGTGTAGTTCCAGCAACTCAAACCCGAAACTTTTTTTACTTGGGAAATATCGAATAGGCAATGATATTTTGTCCTGATAGCCCTATTTTCGGAATTTGATAACAATTTACACAAGATAGTGTTGAAAGCTCTATTTATTTCGAAATAGTTTGCCATACATTTCCAGTGGTTAAAGCTATGTGTGCATGGCTGTCTAGATCTACAATATCATCCGGTGTGTGGTCTAAGAATGTTTTTTTTATTTTGTATTTGGCTTGCTTTTACCCTGTTTTTTTATATTGGATTATAATTTTCTCTCTACCTTTTGAATTGCTTCGAAGTAAATTGACTGGCTTTTACTGCTGCACAATATTCATCGCTGGTTATGTTTTTGTATATGTTTTATTTTTCCACCCGCTTCATTTGCAGGTTCTATTGCCAATTTGTTAAAAAAAATTAAAGGCGTTTCAGGACCGTTCACATTTCTCATAATGATTAGTCTCAAGGCATTCGTTTTCTGAATCTCTTTATTGCTCCTTCTGCGTCTATGGTTCTCCGTCTACGAACTCACCAAAAAAAACCGATTGGTCATTAATCGGTAGTGTATTGAGAGAATAAGGCAGTGACATAATTGGTGAGGAAATCATACACCGTTTCACTCTTTGTAGTCATAATCAATTTGCTTTCACAAAATTCATTGAGTTATTTAGGTTATCTCCATCCAGCAAACACTTAACAATTTTGGAATATGATATCTTGTTTAGATTTTCCAATATATATTTTTTGGAAGTGAAGTGGAATTCTTTTTTTTTTCATTTCATCATCATAACTTTCCAATCCAAGTAGAGTTTTTATCGCATTCTGTTTAACCTGGCACCGAAGAGTTTACATTGATGGTATCGATCCATCGATCAAAATAAGTAAGTTCAAATTGTCGAAAATTTCCTCCAATCTTTGGCTCTTCATCATATTTGGTTTGGTATATATTGCTGTTTCTACACTCGCATTCTCCCTGAAAGTACAATTGGTTTCTTGTGGGCAAATAAAATCTGGAAAATGTTCTGAGCGTACTTTTTCATAAAATATCCATTCAAGTTGTATTGTTGAACTAGTGAGAGAAAAAATCCTTTGATGCAGACATCAGATAGCTCAATCTGATGGATCGCTTGTTGACTCGTACTTCTCAGATTCAGTTTGCTTCTGTAATTCATTTCGCAATTTTGTGCACCTTTCTTCGAAGCGTCTATCTTGAATACCCATATTGATCTCGAGCGTCTATCTTGAATACCCATATTGATCTCGAGTAACATATCTAGGAAGGCATCTGTGTTATATTCGGCTAATATTCATTTCTTTGTTACTGGTGCATGTAGTTCTTGATAGGGTGCTCTAGTTTTTGACTGATTTGTTTTTTATAATTTGGTTTTTTAATATTTCCTATTTTGCAGTGTTACGAATTTTAGGTCTTCTATTGTTTGAGTCAAAATTTTCGAAACATTTCGCTATTCAGTTTTACTGTCCTGGCCTATGAGTGTGTATGTGACAATATCTAGCTTGGTCTGTTTTATGTGGTACATCCTCTTAAGATTCTATAGTTTGTTTGAAGGTGATTGACAATGTTTCATGATGAATTTCAATAGTTCGGACTTCCATTGTCTAATATATAAAATGATTTGAAATCCCTGAAACAACTAAAAAAGAATAATTAAAAATAAATAACTGTAAATAACAATTATATTAAGCAAAAAAACCTGAAATGAAATAATAGTGAAATGAAATACTAGTAAAAATAAAACAATTGACCAAAAAAATAAAAATAAAGAAATACAAAATGAAACTAAAGATAAACAT